AAAATGTAAAACTAAAAAGTTTAAAGAAAGAGATTAGCCTCAGGAATTCAGGAAATATACTACACTCAAAAATCAAAAAGCATAGGCTTGTTACCCTTCCAAAAACTCACTGCCATTGACTCATATAGATGCTGTAAGACAGAGTAGAGCTGCCCCATAGGTTTTCCAAGGCTGTAAATCTTTACAGAATCAGACTGACAATTCTTTCTCCTATGGAATGGTTGATGGGTTCAAACCTCCACCTTTCGACTGGCAGCCAAGTGCTTTAACCACCATCCCACCAAGGCTCCTATATCATTCCTGTCAGGCCCACACAAACAAAATAAGACTGGTTTTGCTTCAGGGTCTTCCCAAGTTATTAATTCACAAACAGCAAACAGCACTAGTGATTAGTGGGGAGGATGCTGGTAAACGAAGGCTTGCTGCCAATGAAAGAAGGGAGAGCTAACAGAAGGAGAATAACGAAAACCAGACCTGAAGACTATAAAGCAATGAAATGGGGGCAGCTGGCATAGGGTACCTCAACAGCTTTATCACTACGTTAGACTATGGTTCAATACCTGATATTTGTAACGATGACTTTCAGGAACCAGTAAATAAGTTAAAGTATGTTTAATGTACTCTGCTTACTATGACAAAGAAACACAGTTTATAGATATCGTCATTTAAAAATATTTACAATAAACTTCAGTTATCTGTATGTGTGTGTGTGTGTGCATGTGTGAGATCAACCTAGCCAAGAATGTTGTCTCCTTCAGATGAGAGGGCAGTGTAAGAGCCCACTGTTTTTCAGACAGGGAGTCACTGACATCTTTTTACACACAAGAGATAACATAAAGCAGTGAGAGCATGTCCTGTGAACAAGCTTCAATTGCTTTAACTTTATAAGAACAAATGAAAAGCACATGATGAAAGTTTCATTTAATGTAACTCTGATGGAACCAGAATACTTCTGCATCTAGAAGGATACTCACCTGGTTAGAATAAAAGCAAATACAGCTGAAATACAGACTACAGTTCTATTTTTAAGTTTGAAAACTGGTTAAACTTGGGACTTCTGGTAAGATGGAGGAATAGGCAGACAACCGACACAGACCCACTTCAACAAAGAAAAGAAAAACCAATTGACAGAGATACAGAAGATAATCCTGGAGCCCTGAGCTTCGAAAGGAAATATACAGAAGTGGATTAGGCACCAACTAGTAGAAACACCTGAATGAAAACAGTGAGTATAAAAACGGTCGGAGCCGTGGACTGACAGGACCAACAGCCTGAATATTTGCACGTGGTGTTGGGACCTGAAATCTTAAAGATCAGTCCTGGTCACCAAGGGCTGCAGAGACAACTACACTGGTGGCCCATGACTAGGAAGGGAAAGAGCAAGGACAGTGACAACCTGAGGTGTTGACATTCCACCCTACAACAATTTCAAAAGACAATACAACAACAAAGTGACAAAATAAATGAAAAATTAGAAACCATACAAAATCTACACAAAAATCCAGAAGATTAATAATAAATTTTCAGAAATAGATAAGACATTGCATGGGCAAAGGTGCAGAACTGAATCAATAGAAGACAGAATTAGTAAGACTGAATGCAAATACCTGAACACTTCTTTGGAAAGGAATAAATCAGAAAAAAGATCAAAACAAAATGAAGATACCCTAAGGTTAATGTGGGATACCATCAAAAGGAATAACCTATGTATAATCGGAAGGTTGGGCAATCTACTTCTGTAGTGATACTGCCTTGGAAACCCAAGGAGGGGTAGCTATGAGTTGGGTCTGACTCGACGGCACATAACAACAACAACAACAATCAGAATTCCAAAACAGGAAGAGACAGATAAAACCACAGAGAAAATTGCCGAAGATTTGTTGGAAGAGAATTTTCCTGATATGATGAAAGATGAGACTATATCTACTAAGGACGTCCAACGAACCCCAAACAGAGCAGACTCCAAAAGAAAATCACCCAGACAAATCATCATCAAACTTACCAAAACCAAAGACAAGGTAACAATCATGAGAGCAGCACAGGAAAAACAGAAAGTCACCTACAAAGGGCAACCAATAAGACTAAGCTTGGATTTCTCGACAGACACCATGCAGGCAAGAAGACAATGGAATGGTATATATAAAACCCTGAAAGAGAAAAACTTCCAACCAAGAATTTATGTACCCAGAAAAATTGTCCCTCAAATATGGTGAAATTAGGACATTTCCAGATAAGCTGAAATTAAGTGAATTTGTTAAAACGAGACCAACCTTACAAGAGATGCTAAAAGGAGCCCTTTGGGCAGAGAAGCAACAGAGAAGCAACAACAGCCAACAACAACTGACCATTAACACACATGATGATATAACCCAGAAACAAACCCAGCAATGGAAGTATCCAAAGTAAATAAGCCTACAAGATTATGTAAACAGGGAGACATCAGTCGACAAATGAGGACAACTACAAACTAAAAAGAGGGAAAAAACTGTGCCTTTACAGAACTTCTACATGGTAGGGAAGTCAAGACAACTAAAGATAGAACGGACTGTTCTAAACTTGGGAAGAAAACTATAAATCACAGGGTAACCTCAAAGAAAAATGATAAACCTTCACATCAAAAAAGAGGACTGGCATAAATATTCAGCAAAGACTAAAACAATAGCAATGAAGGAAGTTATAACACGATTCATAAACAAAACAAGCTCAGCATAAAAAATTATATGGAACAAAGAAATCGACACCATGAAAAAGCACATAACAAAAAAGACAGCAACAAATTTGTATTTGCCAATAATTACATATCTGGCAAGGGACTTATCTCCAAGATTTATAGTGGAAGATTGGATGACCAAACTATGGTATATACACATAACGGAATGCTATGCAACACTAAAAAATAATGTAGAATCTGCAAAACACCACATAATATGGATTACCTTGAAGGACATTATGCTGAGTGAAATAAGTCAATCAGAGAAGGACAAATACAGTATTAGTTCATTGTTGTGGAGGGTCGAGGAAAGGATTATATATAGAGTTTATTGGTTGCCAGGGGTGGGAGGGGAGGGGAGGCAACACTGCAAAAAAAAGGTATTGACCCATGTCAGTTTAGTTTTGTGTATTTCACCATACATAATTATATTTTAATAAATGCATTTAGAAAATTAAACTTTTATTGCTATCCATGTAATTTAAAAATCACAAAAGAATTTCTGTATCAAAATATTTAATTTCACAGTGTGTTCAGCATGTATCACTGGTGCTCAAAAAATAACTGGGTTGCATTTTGTTCTATGGGAGAGGAACAGGATGAGTAGGCAGGAGTTTTGTGACCAGAAGATAGTTATCCAAAATCAGAAAAACTGTGAGTTCTTCGGAGCACCTGGATTACTAAAACATTCCTGTAGGTTTCTTCTCAAAACTCAACAGCAATAACAAGCAAAACACTTCTGAGATTGTGTCACAGTGATATCATTATGTCAAATGAAAAGACCCATATAAAGACTGTATTCCCTTGGGAATCCAAGTCTCTTGAATATCAGGTCTCTCCTACAGCTCTCTGAAGCATGATCTGCCTTAGCAACCAGGTGCTCAGAGGAACATCTGAAGTGGCACCTGTAGGTTGCACATAGTACAAACACTAGCACAAGTTCCCAAAAGCCTATGCAATGGCACTCCACAACAGTCAAGTGGCCACTTATTCAAGGAAGTACGTGATACACTTTTCGTTACTTTAATATACACTTAGTGAAAGATGCCATAAGAACTGTTTACAGCAGGAAGGAGCTAGATTTTCCCTGAGACTCCTCACCTGGGATCGGTCCTCAGCGTCTGGAACTCAATTTGTTTTTCTTCTACCTTCTCTTAGCTTAGTTCCCTGACTAGAGTAACTGGTTTGGTTTTTAACAAAACAAAGAGGAATAATATTAGCAACACTAATAAAAGCCTTAAAACATATGATGTTCACAAACCAAATACAGGTAACTTCTACTCAGTTACAGTTTACTATAATTTATTACATCAGAATGTCTTTTGAGAAAGTCTTACATGGAAATTTTGAATCAATTGGGGGGGGGGAGGGGCGGGAAGCCATACACCTAAAAAGGAAATCCTCATGAGATAAGGAAACCCAAGATTTTGATCTATTCTTGGCTTTGTCATTTAGCTTGCTCATCCAAGCTCATTTATCATCTTCTCTCGAGAAAATAAGCAGGGCTGCATGCCACCATAGGATGTTATGGGCCCCACATCATCAGATATTTTGAGCATTTCAGTAAAAGCCAGAGAAAAGCAAAATGTTATTTAATACTTTTGCACATTTCATCACAGTTCTAGGAAAGAGGTCGTTACAGGGATAACTGAATTGAAGAATCCCTCCCTGCTCGATCGAGCGCCCAGTTTCTTTCCATTTGATTTCCTGTCCAGAGAGATTCCATGACTTCCCACCACCTCATAAAGAAACCCCCAAAGATTACATCATTGTAGTACTTACATTCAAAGCATTCTTTGCAGCTTCTGCTTCTGAGCGACTGTCAAAACTGACAAAACCTACAGGCTGAGGAAATAAAAAGAAATACAAAGAAGAAGTAATCAGGGGATGCCTATTTTTCTGGTTTAAAGGTAATGTCAAATTGAACACATTCAGATAAAGAAATGACCACAGGCAATGGGTAGAGATAAGAAAGCCAGTCCAGAAGAATCATGACTCAGTGGCTCAGTCAAATTTCTAACATGAATCAAAGGGATCGTGAGGGTGGTTCTTCAAAGGCAGAGCTGGGGATTTAGAGAGTCATTATTAAAAAAAAAAAAATTCTAGAAGGGGTTGGAATGTGAATAGCAGTGAACAAGGGGATAAAGGAAAACTTGGGTCAGAGAGGCTCTACTTTCCTAAATCAAATTCATAGTACCTCAGTTTCTTCATCTTTTAAAATGGAAAGAGAACCAAATCACCTTTTGGTACACTGTAAGTGCAAGGAATACAATGACACAATAATAAAAGCCCTGTACTCTCACAGCATGACCAAAATTACAAAGTGAACATTTCCATCTGAAATATCAAGGGATGTTTTAAAAAATATAGTGCTAAATCAGGCATGTGAAACACACTATTTCACATGAACAGAGGTAATAACTCCTTGTGGGTTCAATATTTTGCTATCCAGAAAGAAGAATGCTTGCAACACAGCTTAAATACTTGTGAGAGAAAAAAACTGAGGTGAGCATGCTGAGTTACTAAGACCAGGGTGGGGGTGGAGGTGGGGGTGGGGGAGTATATAGCTAACAGTCATCAGCTTGCAGAGACTATTAGGGTCCCTGATTACCACTTCCATTCTGAAGCTTTTATGCTCTACTCTAGACTTCTGGCTCTGCCCTGTTAGCTACTAGGTATTTGAAAGACAGCATGGTTCTTCATCAGCTGATACCCATACTGACTATTAACACTCTTGTGTTTAACCTTACGAAAAAGCAAAAATGGGAATAAAAGTACACTTGGATGATAATAATTGATTATTAATATAAATCTGGTTCAGAGCTGAGTACATTGTGCTTACCTCGCCTGGGTATAGTCCCAAAAATTCTAGCTGGAGACAATGATTAATGAATCACTTTCATTCCTAACTGATCTCATCTTTAGTTTTGAAGCAACAACAAAAATCAAATCCTAATTGGAATAAAAAAGAATACTGGGTCCTAGCAACAATCCTCAATAAAGGTGATTTGAACTTAATGTAATATAAAAGTGATAATTTATACACGTCTGATTCTTACCTGCTTAGATGTGAGCTTTATAAGAGAACCCTCATAGCCCTGAAAATTAAGAAGAACCAAGTTTAGCCAATGAGTACTAGGAAAAATAATAGCTCTATAGCATATTGCTCGAGTAAAAGTGAGACCCTTTGTGAACATCTATTTAATTCTCCTCACAAAGCCTCTTAGGTTAAGTGGAAAACAAATATATATCCATTTATGTGCAGACATAGGTGCCTATGTTTCTGCATAGTCAGAATCTAAAAAAAATAAAGCCCTGGATTTCAAACATTTATGTTTCTCTTTATATTTTTTCAGGAAGTTATGCAGTGACTTAAAAACAAAACAAACAAACAACAACAACAACAAAAAAAAACGATGACTGCCTCCAACAGGTAAGAATAGGGATTCTGCAGAATAAAGAGAAAGAACAGGATCAATTTAATAAGGATGGGGAGCATGTGATGACTTGGTCATACATTTGCTGTGAAATAACAAAATGAAACATTAAGAACAGACTAGAAAACCAAATCTATTGCCATTTAGTAGATTTTGACTCATAGTGACCCTAAAGGGCAGAGACCTGCCCTATAGGGTTTCCATGGCTGTAATCTTTATGGAAGCAGACTGCCACATCTTTTTCCCAGGGAGCAGCTAATAGGTACAAATCACTAACCTTTGGTCAGCAGCCAAGTGTTTAACCACTGTGCCACCAGAGTTCTAAGAACATACTAGGAAGAACCTATTTAGTAATATTTCAAAATTGCCAGGAGAGGCTAGGTAGGAATTGATACTGAATTTTGTGAACTCTTTTGCTTACTTATTGAAGCCACCAGTTTTCATGTTGGTATTCTGATTAGGACTTGCAAAATTCCCCTGCTGGGTTTTTACTCCAGTTCATCCTCTCAGGGAAGACTGTAAGACTCCTTTTCACTCCCTGCTTCTTACTCACTGGGACTCCTCAGGATCAAGATAACAAAGTCTGTTTATTTCTAAAAGTAATCAATGGCTGGTGGCTTCCACTGATGGATGATATACGAGGGGAAAAACATCACTTGACATGAATGACCACTGCACATATTAGTGTGGAGACAGATTTGCAGACTAGGGTCAGTTTCCAGGCACTTTAATTAAAAGAGGATTGTTAGGAATGTCCTAGGGCCCTGACATTAGCATTGGGGTTTCTGAGCAGGATAGTGGGACTGATTCATGTTCATGTCTTCTGAGCAGAGAACTAGGTTACCAATTAGCTACTGTAAACATTTTACCTCAAAGGCTTTAGTTCTTCTGGCCCAAGAGGTCATGAATCACAGCCCTGCCTCTTCCTTTCTCAAGGTGTTCTCTTCAGAAAACCCTGGAGGTTTAAACACCCTAAGGGTCTCAGAGGTAAAGGACAAACTGGTATTTCATTCAAGTAAAATACCACAGCCTTACAATAGTTGGGATGCATTGCTTCTCAAGTGACAAATAGAGAAGCAGTTCAGCTTAATGGTTCAGAGTAGGGTCGACAGTCAGATTGCCAGGGTTTGTATCCTGGCTCTGCCATTTACCATACATTGTAAATTTGAGTAACATTTATTCAACTGCTTGAAGTTTGATTGTCTTCCTCTCAGGGGAAAAATGGGGCTAACCTACGTTCAAGGATTGTGGTGAGAATTAAATGAGATAATTTGTATGAGGGTTTGGTTTGCTCAATCTTTCTCCTATAAATACAAAATACAGCAGTATTTTTTCTGTTAGGAAGACCAATTAGCTTCGAAAGTCATCATCCTACAAAAAGCACAATACAGTTAAGTGATACCCTGTAGAAGAAACGCAGGAAATTCTATTAAGTTGGCATTGTCTCCACAACACTTCTTCCTCTTTCACTTCCTTGCAGCTAACCTAATGTCCAACCTCTTTGTTGTCCTCTATACAGTATCAGCACACATTACTGTTACATTCAGGGGATGGCTGACAGAGTGGAGTTACGTGCATTAGTACATGGTGCTTTTTGGTGTCAGCTGTGATTTGCTTTCCCCACCCAGGTGTTTTCAGTTGTCACACTCTAACTCCTTCTTCCTAAGGAATTAGATATTGTCCCTCACCCTGTCTTGCTCATAGCTGGGGTTCAGCTTCAACCAGGATGGATAGGATGGATCTTTAAACATCAAGATAGGCCACTGCCTAATCATAAGTGAATGATCTTTTATATATAAAAAGACCAGCAGGCAGTACTGCTGACATGTCCACAATGATCAGCTCAGCCCTCCTAGACACAGGCCCTGAGTTCACGGCTTCCAGGTCCACATTCTGCCCATTCCTGGCTTACTAACTCCTTTTCTCCAAAGGCTAAACTTCAAGGCTGCTCCTTAATGGCATAATTATTTCAGCTTTATGCCAACTTACTGTTAAATTTTCAATCTCATCAACACTAAGTATCTCAAAAGTAATTATTTTATTGACATAGTTATTACGGATAAGCAACTGAGTTCAGTCTTTCATTAAGCACCAGCAAAAATTTCCTTAAATCCAAACCAAGGTATTCTCTAAAATTTTGTTTCTACTTTGAAAGTCAGGGACACTTTTCCCATGGTGAAAATAATGGGAGCTCTGGTAGTGTAGTGCCTAAGGCACTTGACTGCTAACCAGAAGGCTGGTAGTTGAAACCCACCAGCCACTCCTTGGAAGGAAGGTTGGGCAATCTACTTCCGTAGCGATACCGCCTTGGAAACGAAAGGAGGGGTCACTATGAATCAGGTCCGACTCGACGGCACATAACAACAACAGGTTCTTAGGCCAGTTTTACAAAAGCCTATTTGACCTATTATGTCTTCAAGCAGTATTAACAGCACTATTTCAACTTATACTTATACCTAAGGAGAACTCCTAGGTATAAGGCTTGACCTATGTTATTGCAGGTGATATATAAATACATGATAAGTAATTTATAATATTGTTGGTGATCTGTACTCAGAAGCACATCACCAACTACAGTAAGATAAATGGGGAGGATACCAAGGTTGCTTTAAATGGATTACAGATAGCTGGCCCCATTTCATGTCCACATTATTTAAAGAAAAGACCTCTTTAGTCACTGAAGTACAAAAGGCAGTTTCAATCTCCCTTGAGTGAGACCATGCATTAGAAGAACTGTGTTATTAAATTTCCTTTACATGCTTATCCTTTACAAACATCACTTTATAAGACGCTTTCTCAAACTTCAATTCTTCCTCAAAAAACAAAACAAAACAAAAAAACTCCACGAAGAACAAAGTAGGCAAAAAACTTTGTTTCCTTAAAAAAAAAAAAAAAAAAAAAAAGCGGGGAACAGGTTTGCTGGCCCTATGGAGCTTGGTGGAACTATGGCCCCTAGCTGCCCTTCAGGCCTGGAATTGAATGCACAGCTGTGGCTTCCAGCCAAACAATAGACAAGCATATCAGTTGAGCATTTACCTGAGGTAGATACACTCCTTGGAGAGAATAAATATGAGAGAAAGAAGGGCTACTCAGGCACAGGGAGACAGCTCAGGGTGTAGGAGTGCATGGAGGGATAGACACAGGGAAGAGGTTACTATTGGGAGGAAGTGGGAGGGGAGATGCTGCATTGTGGTAAATTGTGGTCAATGCCATGAGACAAAGTGTATGTGAACTACTGTATGGAAAGTGAATTTGCACTGTAAATTTTCACCCAAATCACAATTAAAAACAAAACAAACAAACAAAAAAACTTTGTTTCCTTTTACAATTTCTGAAAGATAGGTAAACGGTACCTTAAATGGTCTGAAAAGCAGGTAGAGCTCACGAGGTTTGATATCCAGAGGGAGACCACTGACAAATAGGGTCCGGACCTGGAAAAAGAAATTTGAGAAGTGGTCAAGGGAGTGGACAATCCAAAGAATAATAATACACACTTGAAATATCAAAAACACATTTCTCCAAATTCCATGATTCCTACCTAATTTAAGCTGTTTCCACAACAATAAACATTCTAATGTTAAGATGCCATTCAGCCAACTCCTGAGAACATCTGTGTGGATTATTCAGAGTGAATTACCACTAAACCAAATCCATTAGCATCTAGAAACCACTCTACTTAGGAATGACTTAACCTAACAAAGAAAACTCATGTTTCCAAATTGATACAGGGGCCAGGATATCAATACATATTTTTGGGGAGGCGGTGCATCTAGTATTCCAAGAAGAGCAAGGCAAAGTTAAGTATCCTTTCTTAACTTTATTTTGGAGTTACTATAATTAAACTGGAGTCAGAGCTGCTTGGTGTGAAATGTTCTTCCCCAATGTTTTTATTATTATCATTTAAAATGTGATTCAATCATTATACAAAATTTAGAGTTTTCCAGTGTATAATATCTACCTTCTATTTAGTTACGTTGCAAATTGTGGTTTAAGTCAAAGCTAACACAGCAAATATGGTTCCCCTTCAACAATTTTTACAGAAATTGCTCTGTGTCATTGGTTACAATTTGTACTTTGTGTCAGCATAGTTGTTATTTCCATTCTGTTTGCTCTGTTTCCATTGATCTAGTCCCCTTAGCTCCTTGCCTTCTCACCTTTGCTTTTAGGTATATGTCGACCTTTTGATGTCATCCAGCTCATTGTCTAGGGAAGCACATTACTCAGGGGGCACTACTGTTTATTTTATAAGCAAATCTATCATTTGGCTGAAAGGATACCTGCAGAAATACCTTAAATACCACATTGAAAGGTTATCTTAGGGAAATAGTCTTCGGGGGTTCTTCTAGTTTTATATTGTTCCAGGAGGTCTGGCATTTTTTAGGAATTTCACTTTTGTTTTACATTTTTCTTCCATTCTATCTGGGACCTTCTATTGTGTCCCTGCTTAGAACGTTTGGTAGTGAGCTGGGTACCCTCCAGTTTTTCTGGTCTCAGGTTAGAAAAGGCTGTGGTTCCACTGGGATATTAGTCCTGTGGATATTTCTTCTTTGAGCCTTTTCTTTCTTTCATTGCCTTTTGCTCCATGAATAGCCAAAGAGGCGCTCACAAGCTTTTAAGACTTCAGATGCCGTTCTATCAGTTTTTGCTTCATGTTATTCCGAAGCTCTGTTATAAGGACATATGCATATGGACTGTTTTGTCCTCTAAATGCCTAATTTAGTAATCTCTCTTTATTAGAAGAGCTGCTATCTCCTCTTTCTGAGCCTATGTTCCCCCTCTTGTCCACTAGCTTTGATACTGATAAAGGTATTTCCTTTATTAAGGCTACTAAAGCTGAATCCCAACACCTGTCAGACACAGACCATGAGCATGCTATGTAGTATGCCTGGTCTGCCATCTACAACCCTCTTCCACAGCCTAGTAAGTGAACAGTCTGGTCTTGGTCGGACCACTCTGCCTGGTCTGACCAAGACAACCTGATTTTTGTTGAATGCCCATTATGTGCCTGTCACTGTGTCAAGTACATACATTATAGAGATTTACATGAAAATAATGTAAGCAGGTTCTGTTTGGCACCATTTCTCCAGCAGTAAGTAGCTTACCTATGTGATAGATATTGATTAGGTTTTGTGTAGTTAACCTAGGAAATAAACTACTATTCACAGCATTGTTTTAAAGAAAAAGGCTTTACAAACTTAGAAGTCAAATAATTTACTAACAAAATTTATTAGAAATCTGAGGATGACCAACAAAAGGTTACTTAATATAAAGTTCATGTAAGTCCATATAATGGAATAAGATGAAGCCGATAAAAATTATGTTTAAGAAAAAGTATATATAAGGCTCCATGACCCTGGGACTAAAAGAACTAGATAGTGCCCAGCTATCACTGCTAACAGTTCTGAAAGGTATCACAATAAGAGGTCTTGGATAGAGTGGGGGTAAATATGGAACAAAACTCAAAACCATGAAAAAGACCAGGCTAACTGCTCTGATGAAGACTGGTGGAACCTCCAAGACTATGATCCTTCAACACCCTTCAAGTTAGGACGTAAACTTAACCCCTGTGACTCAACTATCAGCCAAACTATAGACAGGCCTATAAGGGAGCTCTGGTGGCATAGTGTCTAAGGTATTTGACTGCTAACCAGAAGGCCGGCAGTTCAAACCCACCAACCACTCCTTGGAAGGAGGACTGGGTGATCTACTTCCATACAGATACTGCTTTGGAAGCCCAAAGAGGGGTCGCTATGAGTCAGAATTTACGGCCATGAGTAGGTAGTTAAGATGTTTGTAATTTCAATTACAAATGGCCACCACTTACATTTCCTTGGATCAAGGTAAGCCCACTATTGCCTCAGAAGCTTTAAAAGTTATTTAATATTTTTCTCACTCAAAAGAAATTCCCTCCTCTGACAGAACAGAAAGACTATCCAGTGAAGGGAAAACCAAAAGTAACCAAACTCACTGCAATCAAATTGATTCCGATTCATAGCAACCCCCCTTGAATTTCCAAGACTGTAAATCTTTATAGAAGCAGATCGCCTCAACTTCCTGATACACAATGGCTGGTGGGTATGAACTGCTAACCTCTGGTTAGCAGTCAAATGCCTTACACACTGCACCACCAGAGTTCCTTGAGTGAAGGCAAGGAAAGTTTTAAAAGAAATCAAGGATAATTCATGGAAAAAATAACTCTTTCTAAATATCCAATTCATGCTTTTCCATGGTGACAAGGAACTAGAATCATACGAATATTTGAGAATATTCTAGTATCTCTATTCTACTCATCACCACCACAATTTATATCTATGTTATTGAATAGCAAAGCTGGATTTCTCCATGATCAAACACTCATGAAAAATAGTCCCCTAAAAAGAACAAATGAATGATGTCAAATGAACTTTAAGGCAGGTCAAATCATTATCCAGGGCAGCCCTTAATTTACCAGATGTGCCTGGCACTACGCCTTCAGCATCCACAGATGTTTATCAGACACATGGGGAAACACATTTCTCAGTCTAGGACACAACATGCCTCACAGAAGTTCAAGAGATGAAGGTACTGACAGCTCTATCCCTGAGGGACACTCACGGATTCTGTAAATGTATCTCCAGTATCATTTTTACATTGATAGGAGTGAAAGAATAAATGCTAGTATAAATCATCTTGTGTTGAAAAGTAAGACCAAGAGCCTTCTTAGCTCTTCCATTCTCTACTGTTCCTTCAGAGGCCACAATACATTTTGGATAAAATTAGCTATGTGTTCCTAAATACCACTGCCAGCTCCCATTGGGAAAGACAAGCCACATTTCAGAGACTGGATTTTGAGTTAAGACTCCAATTCAGAAAGAAAAATCATTGTATCATTCTTAAGATTGCCTGGAGAAAAAGGCCAAAAAAGCAGGCCTTAAAATGGAAAAATCTTAACTTTAACAAAGAACATACCTTATTTTGAATATAATATAGACACTAAGATTAAAAAAAAAAAAAAGACAAATAATATTAATTTCAGTAGCTAGCAGAGAATAATCACACTTTTCAGTCACTGGGCACATCTGGTAAGAATAGTGTCTAAAGGCTGTGAACATTTAATAGGAATGTTTTCACTTTGTATAAAAAGGCCTTAAGCATCATCTCTAGCTGCTCTGAGCTGACCTCTTAAGATTCTTCTTAAATTCATAGGACTGAGGAACGCAATTACTCATTTTATAATGACTCATGAGTAACCATGTCTACTCACTTAAGACATTCTAAGGAGTAAATCCTATGTGGGGGTATCTATGTTAAGCTATCCCTCTGCAAGCTTTCTCTCCATCTATCCACATTCCTAAATGTACAAATGTAGAGTCCAAAACACACAAGTAGATTCAGGTATTTCAAATGGTGTTTCAGAGTTTGAAGGATCTTTTCTTATACTGTATAGCCTGGTGATCTGCCTCTGTTTTGAAGGTCTGAAAACCCTATGGAGCAATTGTACTTGACAAACACAGTGTCATCATGAGTCATAATTGACACAATGACAACTAACAACAATAACAGCACAATCCTAAACAGAGTGTTTGTTGTTAGTGTTGATTCTAACTCATAGCTAAATACTGCCCCATCCTCACAATCCTTGCTATCATTGAGCTCACTGTTGCAGCCATTGTGTCAATTCATGTCACTGAGGGGGTCTTCCCTTTTTTTTGCTGACCCTGTCCTTACCAAGCCTGATGTACTTTTCCAGGGACTGGTCCCTCATGATGACATGTCTAAAGTACAGGAGATGAAGTCTCACCATACTTGCTTCTCAGGAGCACTCTGGTTACACTTCTTGCAAGACAGATTTGTCAATTCTTCTGGCAGTCCATAATGCATTCGATATTCTTCGCCAACACCATCATTCAAAGGCGTCAATTCTTCTTTGGCCCTCCTTATTATTGTCCAGCTTTTGCATGCATGCAGCAATTGAACATACCATGACTTTAGGTTGGGTGCACTTAGTCCTCAGGGTGACATCTTTGCTTTTTAACACTCTAAAGAGCTCTTTTGTATAATATTTGCCCATTGAAATACTTCCTTTGATTGCTTGACTGCTGCTTCCATGAGAGCTGATTGTGGGTGGATCCAAGTAAAATGATATTCCTGACAATACCAATATTTTCTATGCTTATCATGATGTCGCTCATGGTCCAGTTGTAAGGATTTTTGTTTTCTTTATGTTGAGGTGTAATCCATACTGAAGGATGTAGTCAGTAGTGCTTCAAGTCCTCTTTGATTTCAGCAAGCAAGGTTGTATCACCTGTGTGCTACAGGTTGTAAATGAGTCTCTCTCCAATCCTGATGTCGTGTTCTTATTCATATAATCCAGCTTCTCGATTATTTGCTCAGCATTCAGATTGCATTAGTGAAAGGATACAACCCTGATGCACAGCTTTCCTTATTTTAA